TGGGGACAAGGACATCCCTGCAGGTGCCTAATGTGGGAGTGATGACACCCAAGAAGCACAAAGGACACAACTGAAGTGAAGACAGAAGCTGTCTCTGCTATTCACCCAGAAGTTAGCTCCCTCTGAAAAAGAGAGAAGAAAGAGAATACTCAAATTAATGAGTTTAAATCTGAAATTAATGAGAAAACTCAGAATTACCCCTAATGTCTTCCTCATCTGATGTGGTTTGGATTTGTGTCTGTGCCCAAATCTCATATTGAATTGGAGGAGGGATCTGGCGGGAGGTGACTGGATCAGTGGCGGCAGATTTCCTCCTTGCTATTCTCATGATAGTGAGTTCTCATGAGATGTGATGGTTGAAAGTGGGTGGCACTTCCCCCTTTGCTTACTGTCCTGCTCTGCCACGTTAAGATGTGCTTGCTTTCCCTTCACCTTCTGCCATGATTGTAAGTTTTCTGAGGCCTCCCAGTCATGCTTCCTGTTAATCCTGTGGAAGTGTGAATCAACTAAACCTCTTTTCTTCATAAATTATGCAGTCTCAGGTTGTTCTTTATAGCACTGTGAGAATGGACTAACATCATCTCATTCCCCATTTCCAATGGTGACCAAAAAAATTTAAATTGCACATAAACATTGAGAGTCTGATCAGTACTAGATCTCATGCCAGTCACCTTCACATGTGCTTATTTAAGCCTTCCAGAAACCTGAGATGCAAATATTAAGTCTAACCATTTTTACAGATGAGGAATTTGAATCTCAAAGATGCTGTAGGCTAAGCATCTTTGGAACTTTGGTGGAACATGCCTGTAATCCCAACACTCTGGGAGGCTGAGACAGGAGGATTGCTTGAGCCCAGGAGTTTGAGGCTGCAGATGAGCTGTGATCACACCATTGTACTCCAGCCTGGGAATCAAAGTCAGATTCTGTCTCAGGAAAAAAAAAAAAAAAAGAGGAGGGGGAAGAGAGGGGAGGGGAGGGAAGGGAAGCTACAAATTGCTTAAGAATACACAGCTCATCAGCAATAATTATCCTAGGCTTTCATCACAGATCTGTCCTTACATTTCTTACCATATCCCACTGTCAAGTCTTGCTAGTCTATCTCCCTGGCATTACTCAGAACACCCTCTTCCTTCTCTTCCAAAATAAGGAGCTACTCTAGTTCAAGCTCTCTTCCAGTCTCTCGTTCCCCTAAGTCATCCTCCACAGTATTAACAGAATTTGTTTTCTGAACCATAAATCTGTTCACAATAGTATCCTGCTTTAAGAACTCCAATATCTCCCTACAAAATGAAGTGCAAATCCCCTGTGTAGCGTGGCATCTAAGGAAGGTGTCTACTTTCTTGGAGGCCTTTTATTTCTCACCCCACACTCCCTGCTCTATTCTCTCCAGACCTCCTGGTAATACCTTGTCCTTTCATATTCCCACTGTTTCCTCTTGCTGTTCCCTCTGCCAAGAACTGCTTCCCTCCATTATCTCCCTTAGTGAGCTTCTACTCAGCTTTCATGAACCTGCTTCAGTGTCACACTTCCTCTAGAAACCATCTCCAATCTCTCCAGTGAAAAGTAACTGTCCCTCTTTTGAATTAACATAGCATTTTGTTCAAATGACTAATACAGCGTCCATGACATTGTGTATGTTGAGAGAGACTAATTAAAAGAGCAAATAATTTTTTCAGTGTGCCATTTTATCTGACTTCCTCCATTCCCTTTTTGCTCTGTGGTCTAGAAATCTCTTCCTCAATTCCTTTTCTACAGTGAATGATTATCCGGAATCATTTGCGTTTTTGGCTGTGAGTTTCTCACGGCTTAGAGCAGACTTCCAGGAGGAAATAACTACTTAGATGAATATTTTTACACGGTGAGCAAGTTAGGCAACGCAAATGAAGAAGGCAATGATGAGCCAAGGAAACAGAATAAGCTGTCTCCTCTTGGCATGCAGGCAGGAAACAGTATGCTGGATGTTGGCCCAGGAACCATTAGCAAATAGGTAATATGAGAGCCTGAAGTTGGAGCCCATGTTAGGAGATAAGACCAGAGAAGTAGGTAGAGGTCATGTAATGAGAGACTTCTATGACATACAAGAGGGAATTGAGTAATGGGAAGGCACTGAGAGAGTTTCAAGGAGAGGAGATGGTCAGATTTTTCAGCATGGTACATGATAAATATCAGAATTTTATTCTGGTCGCTTATTGCTCCTAACAAAACAGTGACTTAAAACAATCATTTTATTATGTCATACACATTTCTGAGTCAGTAGCTTGGGAAGAATTCAGTTAGGCAGTTCTGCTCTATGTAGCATTGACTGGGGTCAGTTAGTATTATTCATCTGGTAGCTGGTCTGTCTGGAAGTTCCAGGATGGCTTTACTCACATGCCAAGTTCCTGGGCAGGGACACTAAGGAGACTGGGATCAGCTGGGCCACTCTTCCTTTCCCTGTAGTCTCAGCTCTCTATAAACGGTCTCACAAGGTAGATGGTCTTTGTACGCAGTGACTCAGGACTTTCACAGACCAAGGTGAAAGCTCCTCTTAAAAGCTAGATCCTGAACAAGTCTGCCTAAATTCAAGATGAAAGGAAATAGCCCTCAAATCTCTCCATAGATGAGTACTGAAGAATTTGTGGCCATTTTTAATCTGCCACAAGGTATGAGGATGTAGAATTGAAGGTAGAGAGAGGGAACTGAGCTCTTATAATGCCTAGTTTCTGAGGTATTCATGTATGAGTACTTCCAGAATTTTCTCTTAACATCTTCCTTATAGCACTGTGACATGGCTATGTTGGTTATGTATCTATCTCTCTCATTAGACTTTTGAGGTCCTCAATGAGGACAACATGTGTGTCTTCCTTAGATTCATACCTCGGTCCCTGGCACATAGCTGATGCTCAATACTTATAGAATAAATAAACTGAATACATTAGAATGGTTGGATCGCATCTTCACAACACAAGAGCAGCTTCTGCTTGATATAATTTCCTTCTCCAGGTTAATATCTTCTTCTTCTTTTTTTTTTTTTTTT